AACCATCCGTGACCCCAAGCTTTTATTCATTTACATGGTGATCGGATTCATGGTGTTTGTTTATGTATGTTGTTATGTCGTTTCCAACTATCGCACTCGCAACATGAGAAATAAGACAACTATTGGAAGTTAGGTGTGGTTAACTGATACCAGTAAACTGAAGCTGCCGTTTGTTTGGCAAGCACTTGTGACTCGTGATTGTTGGAAATTAGCCTTGTGCCATATTGAAACCACCAGTTCCTTTTGATCAAAATAATGTGAAAAAAGCTTCAAGAACGCATCTCAAGACTACATATTGCTGTCTGTGCCAAGTAGTGCTGTATCATTTGACAGTGGTTTTGAACTGGTAAGAAGTACCACATAGACAAAAAACTCATACCTAACTACTGGGTCGAACAAGACTGAAGAGGGAGAATTTGTAGCGGCTAGTGACACTCAAAAATAGTTAGGCTGGTACCTACTCAACGCTGGTATTGAACGTGTCAGTTCTGAAAGTATTCATATCTGAAAACACCTGACACCTCCAGTGAAAGTTCAAGCGTGATGTTTATCTCTTGATTGTTAGCTTAATTACTTGCCGTTCGTTTGTCTCCATTTCTATTCAAACTTACCAATTCATATAACTTTAATGATCTTAGCTTTCTTTTTGAGTACCATACATGAAGATTTACCGTAGCAGAACCTACGAATTATCACAACAAACCCTTTTAATGTGACGACATTGGTGCTCAACTACTCAAATTATTAAACTCTATCAGTATGTGACGATATTCCCTTAGCGCTTGACAACGCTACTATCCGAAAACCGCGAATAAACAATAGCCCCAAACTAAGTAAAAACAGAAGTCAAGAGTGGTAGGATGCGGATATACTTGGAGAGTTACCGTACGAAATACATAACACAGCGTACTCAACCGCGGTCCGGTGCGGCTGCTTGATCAAACTCGTTAAGGTAAAGATATTTCCAGTAAATATATTGGATCAGCATCAACATCAAATACTTACGAAGTTACTAATTTATCACTATATGTTCATTCGTCCGCTATATCGTGTATAAATAAAGTGAAATTTGACCAGCTTAAGTACTACATTCGATTGGATACAGAAATAATCGAATATGAGAATGGGAAGTTGGATGGTGAAGAAATATAAACGGCATGACGTCAACAGATGGTTACGAATAGTGATATTTTCCTTCCAGATCATAATGAGGCACTGAATTCCTACTTAGCCTTCATTTTTGTCAAGGTGTCTAAGCATACAGCTCACACTTTTGTGGTAGTTTATGAAGTATCATTGTATATTTTCAGAAGTAATGCTCAACCAAAACGTTTAATAAAGTCGAGTTGTTGCATTCTTCCTTTTTTATGTATTTTGCAACTATGCTGCAAAAAATCAAGTAAATGAGTAAAGAATGCAGACTAAGTGTTGTGACCACTTCTGAAACGAGATCGTATAGATAACGGAGGCTTAGTCTAGACTACGACTAGGACACGTAAACTTCGCATAGTATAACGAATGTTCACTTATCTGAAATTCCTAGCCAGACCAACACAACTACCACTAGTTTCCATAGTAATAAAAGTCGAACGGACTGTTATTGACCATAAAATTATGGTTGGTTGGTGTAGTACTTGGGGACTGGTTCCATGGTTCGTTATCGCACTTCCATACAACTTCGTGGAACGCCCTACTCTACAAACAGACTTTAGTTGTTACTTTTGAATTCACTGACCTTCGAAAAATTTAAAATACTGCTTTGATTGACGCATGACAGTGTCTTGTCAACACCACCAGCTTATTTTCCAATGATGATTGTTAAATTTTAGAAAATCCTTTATAATTCATCAGAACAAATCCCATGAGGCCTTTACAAACCTTATCAGTTTATGTTATTGTGGGTTGTGGTTTCGAGACAAAAGCGCCTACAGATGAGTTTGTTTCGTCGTTTAACAAAATACTTAAGCGTAAGAAGTTCACCACTTTACAAAGATTTATCAGCTACTGCATCAAGTTTTTAGGTGTTTTATCATTCATGATGTGATTCTCTTTGAAACCCAACAAAAAATGACTTTAGGGCTTCGCAAAATGACACTCAGAGATTTGACAGTTTATGGAAAAAGATTGGATATATTTTGTTAGTACCGAGCATTATATCTCACACAGGAGAGGAGGATGAGGTACCTGAAAAGGAAATTGGATTAGAGGTGGTCTTAGTGACCAGGTAGCGTGACCGCAGTGCCCAAGGGACAACTGCTTGAGGTCGGTCACACACGAGCTTTTTATGGGTAATTTTTGTGTTAGCTCCGTACTTTTTGGGACCTTACCGCCGGAGACATATATCCGTGAGATAAGGAGAGGTGTGCATTTTTAGGGTCGACCTTTTCCAACTTCACCCCTCCTTGTGGGAAGGCAGCATCGCTGTCATGCTGGTTGTCTAAAGGAAACACCTTACTGCTGTCACACCTCTGTACAGTCAGCAGTACGACTTCGCCTTCGGTTTGTTGCTTTTAGTCTTACCGCTCTTCAACCGACCTATCTGACATGGTAGGACCTTGAGGAACAGTTGTTCCAGCCAGTATAACTCGGTTGCTTTATCACGATAGGCAAGCCCGACCACTACGTCAAGGTAGCAACAACGGTCGGGATATCTCACAAAAAAGGACATTTAACCCCATAGTTACACTGTTAACCAATGAGATTTATTCAGACCACAATGTATTTAAAGATGGAAATGAACTAGTACCTAGTTTTATAAAAGATTGAAACTTTCTCGCGATACCACTGTTATTACGCAAAAGTCATAGCTTTTTGAACATTTGACAAATCTTTGAAATTCTCATTTACAAGTTTAATGTGTTTGAAATTATTAAGATTAAGATTTAAACATTGGTTTACTGATTCGAGAATTTATCTGTTTAGTTAATGACTGCTAAGTTACAGGAAGTCATTATTATTCTAGAATAAATTTTCTAAGGTTTTACGGAAATTCACAATAAATAAGCCTACAAAACGAGTTCTGTATTTTATATAAAGACTGTAAATAAGAAATAAATGAAAACTAACACTATAATGCATTGTTGGTGCATGAGTGTTAAATCACATGAAGGACTTTATGGTAAGTTAGAATATATTTTTATGCTTGGTTCGATGACAGTTAAGTTGAAGAATTAAAATCAATAGGCTAATAAATTAATACAACGATCAATGAAACACAATTGGCAAATTATTGTTTGATTGAATAGACGGACTTACCACAAAGAGATGTGTCTTGTCTATCCGTATGTCTGTCTATCACTTATTGATGGTAAATGGGAGTTGGCTTGTAGCCAACCCCAGAATGTCTTTTATTTAGTTTACAACTATATATTGTTTGAGGATAATATTGTATGACATATATGCATCTAATTAAATCTTCGCATCCGACCTAATTACGCCGTTCTACAAACACGTTACTTCGTAAGAACATAGGCGAATTTAAGTGTGAGGTATATATTTCCCTCATTTTTACCAAATGCATTAGATTAAGGTCAATTTCTGAACTAAATTGACACCAAACCTTGGTCAAACTGTTATACGAGTTAACTAGTTATCAGCATCAAATGCTTACAGCACAATGAAGAACTAGTTCATCACCAAATCTTTGTTTTTGTGTGAGAGATATCTTTCTTACTGTTGTGTTACATCAGTTGCAGTTTATCGTTATCGTTTAAGTGGAAAAAAAAAGTTTACATTAGATTTCTTGATTTGTTTACTTGGTATGATATTTTATTTAGAATTCTTAGGGATAATTCATTTGATTCACTGAGGGCTCAATAAGTCAGTATCGCACGTTTTTGAAATATAATTGCAAATCATAAACGAGAGAATCCTTATGGAGAAAAAACCCAAGAAAACAATTATCAAGATCGGTAGGATAAGAATTTTGGGGAATCCAAACAATAGGACTAGTCACAGTTCCATCCAATTCTTGTTCATTTTTCTCATGTCTATCTCCATTTCCCGGCGTAATGTGTTCTTTGGTCTTCCTCTCCTACTTTGGCTTTGAGGAATCCATGTGGGGGCTTGTCTTGTGACGGAGTTGGGTTCTTTCCTCAATGTGTGTCCTATCCAGTTCCAGCGCTTCTTCCTGATTTCTACTTCCGCTGGGGTCTGGTTTGTTCTCTCCCACAGTTGGTTGTTGCTAATAGTGTCCGGCCAACGGATCCGAAGTATTTTGCGTAGAAATAATGTGGTATATAAGATAGAATATTGAATAACACTTATTCATCTAATCATGATACATAATCTAAACCTTAGTTTTTATTGAATTAGTTTATAATGATAACAGATTAACAAACACCCACTTATACATTTAAATTTCAACGACTATTTTGAATTATTTAACTTCTGTATAATAATAATAAAAAATAAAAGATCATATGAAACCTACGCAAAACGAAACAAAAATAATTGCTAATAATTTGGTTATGTGTTTGTAAATTTAATTGAAGTTAAAACATATTAAATTGAATAAATGATTCATTTGTTTAATGCAAAACGTCAGCATACATATATGTCCCAATTTCAACTGACCTCCACACATAATAATTAAAAAGCTCCCGGTTTAATATTTTGATTTCTAAAAAATTATACAGTAGTCAATCCACATTTATCTATACGATATCATAAACTTGTATCATAGAGAATAATGTATTCCTCGTGTGTTCATATCTATTTATATGTATTAATATGTAAAATGTTAAGTGGATGTAATTAGTCGAAAGGAAACTCTGAACCAATATTTTGAGCTAAGTGGCTTTCGTCAGCCAAGTGTGCTTGAAATCTTGAGGGAATCGATGCTTTCTGAAGGATACGACTCCGTGTCATTGAGCTTCACAATCAGAGACGTTACTACTAACAATTACCTGCGATTTCTTTAAAACTACTAAAACATAATGGATAAATGGTATGTGACGATGCCCATGATTTTACTGAGAAATTATAAAACAGTATTTCGGTTCATATTTTATGAATTATTATTCTGTTTTTAAATATTTAACACTGAAAACAACAATGTTATATGTATATATATTCTACAATAAAATATTGAACAAAAACAGCTTGCTTAAGAAAATAAAAACAGAATATAGATAAGATGGTGTGAGAACATGAAACTCCTTTTTAAAACAATGAAATATGTCAAATTAAAGAAAAAGGAAACATCACTTTGCAGAAGAAAAAAAGAAAAAAAACACTTCCCTCTCTCTTTTCATATGACTAGACGACGAAAGTATAAACATAGTAACTCTTACATTTTGAAATGATAGAGAAACCTTGCAACAACGGTGGATGAACACCTATGATATTGTGTGGCTATTTAAATTAGATATTTTGTTTGCAGAGCTTCCAATATGGTTCTAGACAACATCATTAGCGTCTTCTTCATATAGAAATGAAATTTCCAGTTATAATAACGTAATGACTTCTATACTGAGTAGATCCTAACGATATCATTCAGAATGATAAAGAAAACTGTACAAATAAAATATCTAACTCTAACGTATACAACACTACCATAAATTTCACACATTCATAATGAAGAAATAAAAAACAAACAAAACCATTTATTGTCATTGTGTAATTTGAATAAAAGACGACAGTTAAGGTATACATATATATCACAATCATATCATTGGTAATAATAATAGTAATAACAAAATACTAAATGATAAGGCTATTATGAGCGAAACGTGTTTATTTTTATACAGGTAAACTCATTGATATCATTTTATGAATTAAAAGTTGATACGTTGATAGTGAATAAAGGATTTTCTGTATAAAATATGTAACAATATATGCATTAATATAGTCTACATTTTACAAGCATATCAATGTAAATTATTTAGATACAATGTCGTTAACAAACAACAACAAAAAATATATATAATTGAATATTTCGAGCGGGAAAAAAGAAGTGTTCTCATATCAATTTACAGTTTCTAATTGAATTATGTATTTATATAACAACAGAAATATGTTAGTGGCAGATATTTTACATGTACAATGAAATAAAATTAAAAAAAACACAGAGATAATAATCAAATATGTGGAAAAAAAATGATAAAGAATGCACAATGAGTGAAATGGAATATTAATGAGATTAAATATGTAAAAAAAGAGAGAGAGAAAAAAAAAGAAATAATAAAACACTAATTTTATTCTTATTACAATTTGATGCTATTCAATAGATTCATTGAAAATTCAGTGCCTTTCTTCTACTTTGATTTGATTTGTTAAAATCGATTTGGCACGAACACGACGTTGAGCTAATGTAGAACATTCAACTGGTTCAAGTATTGGTATTTTACTAGTACTATTCAATGCTCTAAATGTAGCTTCGACTGAATTCTATAACATAAATAAAACATTTGTAATAAAAGAATAATTTATTATTATTACTGAGAAATTCAGTTTATTTAGAGCAATGTAATTTAAGAGTAATATTTACAATAAACTAAAAATACGAGAAATACGTAACTGATGATTATTTTCTATGCAAGAGTTATGAAGATTGTTAATTTATTATTATTGTTATTACAAACAGTATACACCCATGATTCCTAAAAGAGATTGGGTCCAATATATTCAGGTCTTATAGTGACCGTGTAACCTTCAGGGATACGTATATAAATAAATAATATACATACTATAAATATCCTCATTTTGAAAGTTATTGAACTAGTCACAAAAAGTAACGCTTATTAAAAATGGATAGGTGAATTTTCTTTTATCACATTTGAATAGTTAAAGTGTTTTCAAATAGTTTGATTAGTGCAAATTCATTTGTACCATGAAATAAAGTTTAGAGAAAAATTAGACAATATACATAATTAGATTCTTCTTCATATTTAGCAAGAAAATCAGTTTAAGTTGAATAAAACTAAAAAAGTATGGATTTTAGAAATTATTAATAATTAGTATTAGATATACACTAACTTAAGGAAAAATACAGCCGATAATATAAGTAGTAAGTAAGTATCTTATTGGTTCTTATTAATTTCAAACTTCAAGAAAAAGGAAAACACTACATAATTAATTAACAAGCACTTACTTTTGTCTGAGTGACATCATTTAACAAAACGTCGGTCAATAATTCTGGTGACAGTTGATCACGATTTTTAACCCATGGATGTGATAAGATCGCGCTAGCTGTACAACGTTTAGATGGTTCAGGATTTAACATTTTTGTCAATAAATCCTAAACAAACATATGAAAGACACAAATGTAATCAAAAGTTATAGAAAGAGTAGAAAACTTATAAATCTTGAGTATAAATGACAGATAGTACAAAAAATAACTATAGTGGATTTGTAGAGATGGTTGGATATTATAGTTTACTATCACTGAAAAACCAAGAAAGCATTGATTTAAGTTACACAAGGAAACTATTAAATGCTGACTCAGTAATCTAAAGGTTAAGTACACATTAGGAAACCGAAATTTCCTGGATTTGATACTCCTCAATAGGTGGTCGTGGAATTTGCACTTATAAGGAGTTCCATATACTGGGACAAAACGGGTATCTAACGCTTCCTTGTTTTTACTGGTTATCTAAGGTGTTGACTGCATTTAAAAGTGTTCTGTCCTACTTTATGGCAGTGAAACATGGCCGGTGAGAGTAGAGGATATTCGTCGTTTACTAGTATTCGATCATAGGTGTCTTCGAAACATTGCTCGTATATCCTGGGACCACCGAGTAAGTAATACAATTGTTAGGAAACGATTTCCAGGTAAGGATAGCAAATCAATTGATGAAGTAGTGGAACTTCATCAGTTGAGATGGTTGGGACATGTGTTAACGTATGCCCAACCACTGACTGCCTCGACGTCCGATGTTTTGTGGTGTAGGAGTACGTTGTAGGAAAGCTAGGGGCGGCTAGATCAAAACATGGCACAAATCCATGAAGTCATTGACAAGTGGACTGAGCCATGTTGATAGGTGTAGACTACCCGGTTAGGATCCGTGAGACGATAGCAACCGTTGGTTGGAAACCTTGAATGACACATTGCTCAAAATCGTTTGCACTGGCGTAGGTGTATACACTCTTTGCGTTCTCCCAAATTCTATTCTTTTGATTTCTTCATGTTCCCTTTTTTCTCTTTTGAAATTTATTTCATTGGATTATACTCCTTGAATAATATCTTCAAGCCCTAAAGTTTTCAATTACTGCTCATACTTTTACTAGGTCTACCAATTCGGGATTTGAATTGATAACTGCATCTCTGTGCTAATGTGGCATGGCAACCCGAACTGATGTACATACGTACGAAGTTCTACGTTGTTGCTGACTGAAATTTAAAAGAGGAGTTGACAAACCAGTGAATTTGTTAAAGTCTGACAAAACTGAACACATACATTGAAAAATGAGTTAGAAGAAGCTTGGAAAAAACAAATTATTAATTGATTCAACTTCAACATTTTTGAAAATAATTTTGTCATTAATGAAATATGAGTGGATGTAAATAAGATAACAAAACTGGTCACTAATATATAAGTAGATAAGTAGTTATTATTCGATAAGTTAAATGATTCTTCAAATTTCCCTGTTTATCTCCCAAATCAAAATTAATTAAAAAAAATTAAATTTAAAAATTAAAGTGTAAACGAACAAAAAGTATATTACATTTTTAAAATTAAGGAATATACAGAAAGATTGATATACAATTATTTTGTGAATTATGCTGATTAAGCGCTTAAACTATGAAAAAAAAGTCAAGTTGGGAAACTATTTCGTTATCGACAAGAGTCAAACACTAGTGGTAAGTGAACATCATCAGTAAATTTATTGAAATGAAAGATTAATTGATGGTGATTTCTTCTCATCTTATACAGGGTTTTGTGAGACATATTCCTCAAAAGTTGTGTTTAGAAGAAAGTATACTATTTCGAATGCAAACACTAAACATTTTACGTAGAATGAATGAGCCAAAAACGTTTGAAATAATTAACAAACGGTATATCCCGCTTTTTGTAAAAACTGTTGTTACTACATGCTTTTTGGCTGGACTTTTATACACAAAGAGAAAGTGTGATAAACCTCTTAATGCCATGATTAAATGCAACGTCTGTCAATTAAATAACCTTTTGATTTCGATTTATACTCTAAACACTCCATTGAAATTCACTCATAATGTTAAGTGGAATTTCATAACGACAAGGTGGCCTGATCGTTAAATCACTCATTGGTTAGTAAAATGGTTTATTCACTTTGTCGATTGATTATTAGTTACCATATTACCCCCTTTATATGAATTCAATCTCAATAAATAAACAATAATCATTTCTAACCATTGTGTCATAACCCTTGGTTGTTCCGTGTTATTTTGAATTCGATTTCGTTGACTAAGGTATGTATAAACCTGTTCATAAAAAATATTACTAATTGTAAGTCTTAAGCTGTTTACAGCTTATAGTATCCAGTCACTTTATTCTACAAATTCATTTTTGTTTTTAGCTTTGTTTTTTTTAAATTTGTCAACGAATAAGAGCGTATGAAAACAAAAACAATTCGGTTGAATTAATTAAAATAGGCCACTGAATGATATTTTTGATAGTTTGCAAAAAAAGGATGAAAAGAAGACAAATAAATAGTTTGATTTCAAAGAACTGTAACTGACAGGTAGGATGAATTTATACAAATTGTTTATAAATGTTAAAATCATGAACTATAAAAGCACGACCTATTTTAACGGTGGATGCAAATATTATGTCAGGGAATTTAATATTATCCTAACTTTTATGATTAATTAACACTCCTGACAAAAGTGTAACACAAATCTGAAAATGATTATTGATTACGTGAAAAAGTAAGTGATTAAAAATATGAATGGCATACTTCATGCACGTCTTATTCGTTGCATTGCTTAACAGGACTAGTACGCACACAAATCAGTTAGTTTATAACAATAAAGAGATAAAAAGTTCCGTTTTTAAGTGTCCATGAAATAATCAGTAAACAGAATATTACTATTAAATTGTTTGTGAAAATTATTGAATTTCATAACTTATATCACTGACTGATCGCAGTTAGACAACCATTGAAAACCAAGAATCATTGGACAGTTACTTCGTCATGATATGGTTGCATAATACCACGAAGTGAATAAAGTTCGACATATAAACCGATTGATACAGACCTGGTGGTCTAAACGTCGAGCGCTCACTAAGATATTCAAGTACCTTGGTTCCAATTCACGTTGGGTTTGTGGATGTGTATTGCGGAGTGATCTCATACTGAAACGAAACAGATATCCGGAGTTTCATGATTTTCGATGGTTGTCTAAGATCAATTCCTGATGAATGGTTTAGTTATGGGAACATTACTACGAGGATTTAAGTACCTGTTTGGAAAACGACAACACAGTTACAGAACATTTATTATCAGACAAAATCACTGAATTTTATTACTCAAGTATCAGCAGATTTAGAAATAGGCTTCCAATTACAATTTCCTTGAAAAAGAAGTAACCTCTTTATACAACGTTTCTCGTTAGATATTTAAACAAGTAACAATGATTACAGAATTTATATTAAAATTATAATTATAAACATATGTAAGACATATTCATAGTAATAATGTGGTGAACGAGAACACAAGTGGGGAAAACCGATTTATTATTCAATACAAAATTACAGAGTGCTTCAGTAAAATATGAAAATCATACATTAAATACATCATTTGCACATCTTTGTGTTGTCCTTTATCTACTACCAAACTATTCCTCTAATTCCGTTTTTATTTTAATTGCTCTCCGATTTGCTTTGTGTTCTCTTTAATTCAATCTTCTACTCCCAGGCATGACAACTTCCGATCGTGGCTACATACTACTTACATCTGACGGCATAAGCAGCGTACACACATCTACACTAATGATGTAGCATGAATTATTCATCAAGTTTTTATAACAGAAAGTATGGAACATTTATATCATATTCCATTGATTGTTATGAATAAACGACAATCACAGTATTTAACGAATTAAATCGAACGAAGTTCAAATAATAATAAAGTTTACCTATGTGTGTTCAGTATAAAAAGCTTTAAAAACAATAAGCTATTGACTTCACTGGTAACAGAATAGGTGTAACTGTTAGAGCAATTGCAAATATTTTGTCAGTCAATCCGGCATTCGCAACGCAGAACTTGCTGAACATATGCTTACATATGTGTCCCAACTCGCCACAGGATATCAGAGCAAAAGAATGAAATTACAAAGACAAACAATAAAGTGGTAATATCAATGCCAAAAATGGCCATGAAGAATATGAATTGAAGTATAAAATAACTTGAAAACTGAAGATAGAGAACAAGTGAATGCATTCGCTGCACAGCAACCAACTTTGAACCATATCAACTAGCATCTCCTCCTCCCGTTAGTCAAATTGACCACGCTGGACTTAACCAGGAGTTAATTACTTCTTGAGTTATTGCCATGTCCAGGTTTAAACACCACCAGTTTTACTCCAACCCATTCTTATGCCGACGAAATACTTTGTTCAGACCTGTATAGTTTGGCGATAGTTCAGGCCATAAACTGGAATAAACAACTATTAGGTGTTAATTAAAGATTTATTTTTTGAAATTCCAATAGAAATATTTATGCAGTCATCCAAGTTCAGAGTGAGACAGTAACCGACATATGATATTACGTAAAGACTGTATAACACCCCAAATTGACTACAATTGAGAATGTGAACTAAACAATTGCAAAACTTAGGTTCGTAAATAATATACTAATCACGAACATTGATTGTTATGCGTTTTATTAGACATGAAATTGTTAGTACACTCTATTGAGTAGTTTTAATGTACAATAAAAATAAACTACTGCTAATTGTTTATTCAAGGGCTCCCTCTCTCTTACTATATGGTGTCGTGAGTGTAGTGAACGCTACTCACATTACTTGTAAGTTGTATGTTGAGGAACATGGCTTCAAAGTTGTCGGATGGAATGAAGAATCTCAGTACAGCGAAAGCACGGCGTTGGCAGAGCAAATTGTAATGAGGTAAATGATTCTATTTGAAATATAAGTATAATAGTAATAAACAATTGGTATTTATCTATAACTATTTGAAAGAATATGTAATAGAGTAGGTCAACATTTGCTATACTTAAATCAACTTCTCTAACAATTAAATTATAAACACCAGTTATAATGGTGAAAATCAATCTAATCAAGAAATTTAGAAAATTTAGTTTATAATTTACTTTCCTTAAATATGTTGTGACATTTGGAAAAATTACATTGATGAAACTATAATTTATAAACGACCTATGTATGATTATAAATGAAACTTGAGAAACTTCGCTCACTTATTAGGGTTTAAATAGAGTTCTAGATTGATGTGAGGAATTTGAATTAGGACTTAGGAATTAGAGTTAGGGTTTTTATTATGAATGGAAATCAATTATAATGAAAAAAAAATGTTATTTAGTCAGATAGATAAATGAATCTCGTGCAGATATCTAAGAGTCACTATTTTAAATGTGATTGGTTAGTCCATAAATTAGAGTCCTGGTAGTGTATTCATACAGATTGTAGGTGTAGAATGGAAAATAATGTATCCCAAGAATATTTTTTAATAAGATAAATGTTGATAAAATGGACTCAATTTATCTAAGCAATCATTAGAAAGCACCAACAATCCTCACAAAAATTACGGACAAATTTAGCCCGTCAATAAATACTTTAGATGAGGTTAAAGATTATTATCGTTTCAAATTATTCATTTTATTGAATAAGATGAAGAGTAGATAAACAGTTGACTTTCAAAACATATACGTTATTAAATAATTTGGTACAAAAACCAATAACAACATAAACAACAAAACTATGAATGTAAAATATCACAAAGTTGAAAAGTGCATTATTTCACTATAGACATACATTTTCTCGTCAAACAATAACTTACTGGCACTTGAGTTATTTTGCTTACTGGGCATGAATTTTATACAGACACGTAAAGAAGGAAAATCTTGAAAAATACGTATAATTCAGTTGCATTAACAGTATGAATAAGATCCTTCATTAGTATTGGAAAAGACGCATCTCTGTATATATAATGAGTGAACAATCAACCCAAAAGCAGTAAATGTAAAAAGGGAATAAAAAATCCACCAAAACACCAATACTGTGCAATAAACATAGATCGGTAACTTTCAACTAATATAAAGTTACATATCAGATACTGCGACATCTACGTGAAAATTTCAAAAAACTATTATTCACATTACAAATGTGAATAATAATTGTCCTTTTAGTCTAATCTACTGGTACTACTAATATCAGTTGTATATTTTCTGTTTCCTCTTTAACAATGTATAAACCGGTTAAAATTTCCATAGAAGGCATTGAATAACTTATGTTATCGGTAGTCAGTTGACTGGTATTGTACGGAATAGTGAAAATTGTTTTAATTGAAAATTCTCCAGTATATATATATATTACATCATCACTTTTCATGTGTCGGTAAAAGTGAGACGTGATTGGTTAATGAGAGAAGATGGATACATAAATATATGAGACAATATAATATTGTATGTTCATTCCACTGCAGATTCTACTGGGATTTAACTTACAGTTGATTATTTTGTCCTTGTGTCGATAAACTATTGTTCTTTCTAATATCTGGTTCTTAATGGGATAATTGTATTATGCATATCACATAATCTAGTGTCTAGTCTAGTACTTCGTAAGTCGATCCTATTATCTATTGTCAGGTCTATTGGTACTCTTATCGTATTATCTAGTGTTTAAGTGTACGATTCTATCAAGTGTAAATTTCATAATTTTCGCCATATTATGAAGATCTTAAAACATATCATGAAGCTGTACATGTAAATGCGATAATTATTCAGATGAAACATAACAAGGAACTTATCTTTTTAAAATAAATAAGAGCAAATAAAAATATAGAATGCATGGATTGAAGCTAGCAATGGAATCAAGGACATGTATTTTGTTCGATCAATGACTTATCAGATGAATTTGCCTGCAGCTCAGGGTTAGTGTTCACTCTAAAACGTAAATCTAGTACCGTTAACCAACGACTATTCACTTAGCTTTTGAATCCAAATAATTACTCGCTTATATAACGGGTCCCTGATGAGACGAAACGAGAATCCTGGATACCACTACTAGCCCCATCTCATTTATTCTATTTTATCCTCTGTCATAATGGCTATATCAAAACAATCCATACAGTATGCATGTATGCCAAAAACGACATTAAATGTTAGTAAAAAATAGTATCAACAAGGGGATAATCCAAACTATTTCAAATTGAATTATATATATATATATATATATATATATATATATATATATATATATATATATATATATATATATATATATATATATATATATGAAATAATTGATTTAAAATGTCTTTACTGTTAAGTGACCAAACTTGATTGAATGTTTTTAATGATACGGTTGAAAACAAAACATTTCATCTCGACTTAAAACGAAACAATACCATTTATATTGATTTATAGGTGGAAAAAAAAATAAGAAACAAGGAAATTAAATTATATGTTTAGTTCGATGTAATCAGGTCATACATTTTGATTTTTTTTGTTGTTGTTGCCAAATTATAGACATTATGCATAATTTCTATTATTTTGCGTGCGTGTGTGTGTGTTTGCGTGTTTTCCTTCATAATATGGAATGCAGATTATTTATTAATGTTGACTAGTTAAATAATGGTTGAATAAAGTATCATTCTGACATTAATTTTTTTTTGTTTTGTTTTTCACCTCAATAATGAGTTAATGTGATTTGAAGATTTGAAAGAAATAAGAATAATTAATATACACAATAAAGTTTATTATTATGTCATTTTCTAGAATAAATTATTCACATTTATACAATGAATTGAATTAACATTATGAATTCACTTCACAATTGTACAGTGATATATATATATTAAAATGTATATACATAATTCCTTCAAGAAAATTAAAAAAAAATTATAATACATACTTTTGCTGAATCAGATATTTTATTCCAATTATTATTGATTAAATCTAATCGACCAGATTCTATACGTGATAAAACTACTTCAGATGATTCATTTGGTTTAATTGCAAATGGTGTTTGTCCAAATAACATTGTATAAACTAATACACCTAAACTCCATACATCACATGCAGCATGATAACCTTGCATTTTTAACACCTATATTATTATGCATTGATGATGATATGTAAAAAAAAATATAAGAAGAGTAAAGATATACAAATGAATGAAAAGTGATACATACATAAGTGAAAATTAGTTCAAAACGTAATAATAATAATAACAGTAAATAATGATGTATACATGCATAAAGTAGTTTCTGTATTTATAAAACGTTATTAGCCCACAAATGTCCTGGTGCGGACAAGAGTGGGGAGAATCAGCTCTCTCTCTCTCTCTCGAAATGCTCTAACATGGCCACGTGCATAAAATTACTGCCAAAAAAGTCCTACACACTGCATTCTCATGGCGGGGGTGTTGTTTACGTAATTGAGGGAACGAAAATCGAATGCCCGGCGCTTTAAGCGAGTTGATGGATGTAGAGGATCGACAAACAATAAAACAGACGAACTGAAATCATTTAAATGATTTGAAGTTAACCCTAGACTATTCGCAGAGTGATTAATTCCTAACAACCAACTCATTTCGATTGTTTTTTTTACCAATACACCAATATGTCATACAAACTGACTGATGTTAATTATTTTCTCAATTTCTTTTTTTAAGGCTGGTCCTTCACGTTTATCGGGCAACTTATTAGGTATCCTTGACTGGAATATGTCAACCGAGGTCCAATCTTCTCTAAAACTAACTAGTATGTCTGAATAAATTGCCAGAGACTGATTCCAGCATCTGTGCAAACGAAAACCAGAGAGCTTCAAACAGCTGCTTCGCCTCAATGCAGGACTCCTTAGAAGAATGTACCCTAGACAACACAAAGGGGTCGGTTCCAAGATCTTCAGATACCACCGTGAACATGAACATTAGAAGCACCGGGTTGGTATCTTATGATAAATAGGAAAGTGAATAAATAAGCAGTATATTATAAAGCTTTAATTTTTTTACTGATAGTTCCATATCAAAGCAAATTAAACACAAATACGATTTTTAAAAAATCAAAACTGTCAAGCAATTTACTTCTGGTGCGACAAAATTTGCAGTATAACACGGTGTCATTAAAAGACCATTTTCAGCTCTCAATTGTTTTGCAAAACCAAAATCACATATTCTCAGGGAAGATGCATCACCAGAATCGTCTGCATATAATACATTGGATGGTTTAAGATCACGATGGACAACCTGGCAGAATAGGGGATATTTATATACATATGGAGTAATAATAGGTTTTTAAATAATAATTATACAGACATCAACGTAATGTAATGTATTAAGATTTTTCAAGTATTTTGTATATGTATATATAGTAAATTCATTTACCCTATTGGTTTAAACCCATAAATAAGACTGAAGAAATATCAATGAAATCTATTTTCAAAAAAGGCATAAAATACATTCAATATTATATCACAGAAAGCAAAATATTCTACACATTTCTTTATCACCATTCATACTTCGGTTGTCTATTTAGTAAATCAAATAAAACATAATTATTTACGCCTTTTGAGACCACAGACCGACCTAAATAAGTTATCCATTGAAAGCCAAGAAGCATTGTACAGATGTTTCGTCCCCGTGTAGGACTAATTCTCAGCAGTTTGTATTTACGACTCCTTAAGGAAAAAAATTCAGAATTTGTAAAGAGAGTCTAAACTTTAGGCTATTTATAAATCTTCAGATTATGAAACGCGTTTTTCTAAAACATAGATTTACCGAAATAATTATTCATAAGTATCAGGAGTTTTGTGGAGATTGTAGTAATTTCAATAGTTAAGATCATGAGTCAGGTTTTCCATGGTGGTCTAGCTTTAATTAACTCATGATCTCAACTATTGAAATTATTCATAAATTGAAAATGTGAAATAAATTATCCATTTTGTTAATACTACTTTACAAAAATTTCTATTCAAGAGATGTTCCTAGTGCATTGCGTTTATAAATTCAAATGTGTGGTCGTCATTAGCATAATGAAGTTGTCAGTAACAATCTATATGAATGATTTAGTTTCGTTCAAGATAAGATGAAAGCCTATTATTTGTTACAAATGCTTGTATTGTGTATATATTATGAATATATTTATTAGCTTGGATTATATAACACACACATACACACAAATACACATAGTGTTTACACAATTCTATTAAAAAGGAAACGACTTCGTGTTGTACAACCAAGTGTCTGATTGAACAGGTCAACTCATTTTCAAATGAACTGTTATTACATTCCAATTAAAAACTTATTTGCATTTTAATGGTTACAACTTATAACTATATACTATATTGTTTACAGAGTATAATAACTACACATACATTTACATTGACCTTCAGAGATATATGGCTTAACTACAAATTAATGCAATGATATTTGAGTTATCGTTACAAGACTAAAATATGTATGGTTTCATGTTCACATGACCGAAAATACACGCAATATGTTTATCAAGGAAAAAGATACACTGTTTTGATTTTTGGTTTGAGAGATTAGTTTTGATAGGTAAATGTAAGCTATGAGAGGATGTGAGTCAAAAGCTCAGAGGAAGATGTTCTATTTAACGAGCTGGATGGTAAGAGATTAAGCCAGAGAAGAAAACATTGAAAATAAGTATGTAAACAACGATAACAGTAAACGACAGTAAGCAATCAAAATCCATGTCAACAGAACACTCTGTTAGTTAATTGTGGAGAAATTCTAAACAATCACTTCATTTCAAACTATGTACTGATGACATTGTGCAGAAAGATTACGGGAGATTCACGATTAAAATATTTATCTTAGAGAGCACAAAACCTGTAGAATGTAATATTTGTTGTTTTCACATGATATAATTCCACTTTTTTAAAAGATAATCTGAAGTGATACGTGCTAGAACAAGACAAAGTGATGTATCAAAAAATACAGACTACACAAGCACAATAGATTGATCGATGGGCAGTGGTCGATGCCATATTTGTTATATATGTTACATAAATTGTGATATCACTAATTTAGGTGAATTAACGTTACGTGTACTATGATCAGTTGTTAGTTGGTTGGATGTGATAAACAAGAAATCCTGGACTACAGTCTGTTAGTTGACACTTGTCAACAGTGTATACCTAAATCTTTAGAGACCTGATGCTTGCTAAGGGATTCGAATCAGAGTATTAAAGGAAGAATTGTTAGAATCACGTCTGAATATGGTTACTCATATTATTATTCCATTCACCTTATTACAGCTGGATTAATCGCTTGGATTTATTCATTAATTCTTGTAAAGACAGAATTTATAAAATTAAACACATTATGCTATCACAACGATAAAGCACTAGAAATCTATACTGTGAACTCGAAACTTCATAACAACAAATAATTTTGAAAACGTACAACACAATAAAAAAAAGCCAACAACTGAGTTTACAGAAAACGAAAAATTACTACTACTATTACTACATATTTATTTAATAGTATGACAAGTAAATATCATAGACGAAACATTTGTGAACCAAAATGTTTCATCACATATTATGCATAAATGATGAGGATAAGTTAAGCAATAAATCGATATTTCCTCAAACAGTCTATGAATTAATGTAATCTATTTATTATTAATACGTTTTCCTATGATAAATACTCGTCTATTTTACTCATTAAACACTTTTATCTTATGACTTTGTTGACGAAATGACTGTATTTTACATATACAGATCAACGTAACTAAAAGGTATTACTTTTTTACTAGTTTTTCTTCATAGCTGTAGACTGGGGTATATATATATCTTTTGTATTGGTTGTTCAAATCTTCCCAGTGACGTTTAGGATTATTAGCCTTTTCTGGGATACATGCATTAGCGTGAGGATTGTCCCGATAATGCTATAAAGTCACAAGGATTTAGGCAGAGATGGATGATAGCTAGCAGTGGAGTCCAGGTACCTCTAACTGACGAGTCCTAAATACGACGAGACACGCGTCCTAGATTCCACTGCTGGCCATCATCCAACTCTTCTCAAACATATATTTTAGTCGAGTTTTGTTCTTTGAGTTGGATGGTTAGATCAAACCATCGAATCTCCACCATCTCAAAATCATATGAGCATGGTACGATTCGCGTTGTTCGAAAATGGGAGAATTTCGCCAAAAGGTAGGCTTTCACTCGAGAACAATTGTATTTCCTTCATGAGTGTCTTCGTCAGCATGTTCCACCATCACGTGCAAGATGCAGACCTCAAATGAACTGACCAATGGGATGGAGATTAGCTGACACAACCAAACTATCCAGCTCACAGAACAAAACTCCATCAAAATCATCCATCTGAGCTACAAATTTCCACCATCTCATATATACATATATATATATATATATATATATATATATATATATATATATATATATATATATATATGATTTACAATAATGAAATATTACTAGTCGAGTATAACTCCATTAAAATTCTCGACGTTTTTATCACATTTCAGGTTACTGAATAATTTCAGTATTCATGTCTTGATACTTACACGACTATTATAAAATTGATTTTCCATCAAAATATTTTATCGACCCTCTTATTAAATATTATGCAATCTGGGAGCCATTTAATTATGTTTTAACAAATAGCTACTTTGCTTAGTACAATTACCGTATTATATTTCTTTTAATCACTAAGCTAATCATTTAGTATTATTTTTATAATTACTTGCGAAATGCTAGTACTGCTAATCAATCGACATTACTTTATTTTCATAGTCTTTAAATTATGAAGTGAATTTCGCTAGACCATCAGTGCACATAAGTGACATCATCAGGGATCGAGCCTGAAATCATGGGTTTTGCGAGCAATCGCTTGATCTCAAGAGACCATCCAGCCAGCACACAAACAGAAATTTAGTCACTTCGTGATACCGCACTGCCATCTTCCAGTGATTCTGGTGGATAACTGTTTCATGCTCAAAATGACTGAACTCCACTGGTAACACCTTTCTTGTTGTAAATCATGTGTATATGTATTGATGTGGAGCTACAATAAAAAATTAGTAGCGAAAAATATTTTTCCACTTTGTTCATCTTTGTGCTAAACTTCTGAATCAGAATTTGCACTGCAACTGCTTTTTTGGTTAAGCATTGAGCCCAATATATTTTAACTCTAAACGAAAAGAATAGTTTAAAAAGTTACTTTCTACCCTCAAACAATCAATCAGAAAATAAGAAAAACATTACTAATCATTGAGTAAAAGGCAGCGAATGTCCAAAATCACTTTCCCATTATATTTTGTCGTTGACGTTTATTAAACTAATAAGTGGTGAACAACTTACAATAAAATCTCATTCACTGAAGACTATTTTGTATATAAAAGAATTATTTATTTATTCTGAAGTTGAATTTCAAACGCTATGATTAACTATCTGAATTCATTGTTTTTTTGTTAATCTTTCCCGATAATAATTCACATAAAATTTTGATAGAATAATGCACCTAAAAATAGTAGGCATTTTATATTGTACTATTTAAACTTGTGTAAATTTAATTCCCTTATTTATTAACCCTGAAGAAGTCGCTTCGCGCGCGAGCACTCAATTACAAGACCACTACGAAGCCAGTAGGTCCTGGGTTCGAATCCCACTGAGTGCGGGATCGTGGATGCGCACTGCTGAAGAGTCCCATACTAGGACGAAACGGCCGTCCAGTGCTTCCAGGTTTTCCATGGTGGTCTAGCTTCAATTGACTCATGATTTCAACCTGTGAAATAAACATTTTTTGACTTTTTGGATAGGAAAGCTACATTCTAAATATAAATGACTATTTTAATAAAATCTTTGAACCCTTGCAAATATAGTGATATTGCTTTCGTATGAATGATCATTTCAGATCAAAATTATTCTTTTATTTTTTTTACAAAATACATGTATGTTTATTACTGTAATAGTGTTTATTTTATTAAACACTATAACCCATGTGGGTTGAAGTTAATTCATTTCATTCGACATGCTTTAAATATATGCTCCTTTATTTTGAAGTTTTTATGAGAAATGGGTTATACAAAAAAAAAGTTTATTTTACTAATATAATTATTAAGACGCTTGTATAATCAGACAAGTTTAACTTTGAAAAGAGAATTTATGAACTAAGTAATATTTGCATTTTAGTCGATAAAATAGAAGAACATGCAATGTTGATAATAATTATAAATAACTACCTGCTTAAAGCCAACGAAATCAAAAACAATATTTTTAAAGCCATATGTAATAAGCTCTTAAAAATATGTAAAAGGAATGAAGTCATATTGTGTCTTGAAAAGCTAATGAAGATTACGTATCCAGTTAACCGATCGAAACTCCAAATATAACTTCCTTTATTCTGCGTCTGTCCTTCCGTTTACAGCTTAGCTCATAGTTCGTAAAGCCTTCCTCATAACCTATCTTGAGTCAACAGAGAAGTCAGCAGCCGGTCTATATACACATACACACTAAATTTCAACACCACTATATATTGCAAATGCGTACATTTTTCATTCCTACATTATAAAATACAAATTTATACAGTGACAGGTTATAAAGATTCACATTGACCAAGAATAACTGGAAACTGACATTCAAATCTATTGTGATTTTGATTATACTAAAAATATTCTGCATTGTGTCTTTTGTACTATTTAAACTTGTGGGAATTTAATTCGACTATTTATTAACTCTGAAGAAGTGGTTCACATTTAGTCACGAAACGTCAGGACTAAAACGTTTTACTCATTGGGATATAACAAAAAATTTATCTTTTTTTGGACATTAACAATTACAGAACAAATTGAAACATCTGAAACTATCGTCAAAAGTTAGGATAATTAGAATCCTAAAGCGAACTTAGAATATACCTCATTAGTGAATATTATTTTTCTACATCTTTGAGGTGTGTAAAACGCTATTTTTTCGTCATAAAAAACCTACCTTAAACCTTACCCTACCCAGGTGTATATTTATTACAATGGTACATCATCGTTTACAGATACTTAGTGTATAAAACCGAATTCTTTTTTCAAGGGGATTTTCAAAAAAACATTTATCTGCCCAACATATTTTTTATTTGTTTCTATGATTGATGTTATTTAACCATCAGCATTAAACTATTCAGCTTATTTTTTTTCATGAATGTTTTACAGAAAGTTGTTTAGAACTATTTAACTCATTGAGTTAATCAATATTCTTTCATTTTATGTCTGTATGAACATATTATAGCAAACAATTTACAAGCTTATAAATGTAAACAATTTAATGAACTCAATGTATTGATAACTATATAAATAAAGTTAATGTTATATAGTTGCTGTTTACTTGAGACAATAAAACATGATGGTCGCATTTCTGTTTATTTCATTTAGTTGAATAGAAGAATTTAACCAACAACTGGCAGTTGTTTTTCTTATTAGAATCATTGATCAGTGAAAAAAGAAAATCAACAAATCGGACTTGGTCGATACAAAAATAAAATTATTTATGATGAAAACAAGATTTACGAATTGAGACTACTATTCATAGTCAGTTATATGTAAAGTAGAACTTGGGAAATATTTGCATCTGTTCATGCTGCAATACCACATCACGTTAGAAGAGCAAGATACTACGGCAATATCAGTACAAACAGTATAGGAGGTATGAGGAAACATCAAGTATAGAAAATATGATTCTAGTAGAAATTATGTTCTTGGAAAAGATCTACCTTAATTTACTAATCGTTAGTTACGAAAATTCGGTAAGCCATAAGCAGATAGTTTATACTTACTTACATTGCTCTATTCAACAATTATTGACTTTATAGATTAATGCCACAAGCTGATTCGATCACTCAGAACTTTCGTGCTTCCTACTCTTACCTCAGTTCTCACAGCGACCGATATATTCGATTGTTGAGTATACGTAAAAAATGTACCGAGGACTATAGTCGATGAACATTTACATTCATCTTTATCCAGTCACCTGCTTTCACTTTACCAATACTCACTTGAAGATCTTACTATATCTCAGAAAAAGCTTCTAAAGCATCTATCATCAAATAGTTGTGACATAAAAAATCATAAGGACCACATTATACAGCCATAAAACAAAATGGTACGAGCTGGTTGGTGAATGAACCTTCAACCTATTCACATTGCTATTTAAATAACGTTTCTTGAAAGATGACAATTGGAGATAACGAAATATAATTTGTTAAGAAAGAGAAGTGATGAAAGGTTTACGCAAATGTTCATAAATTAAGAAAATGCTATAAATTCGTTTGATGAAATTCACGAAATGAATGTAACGAAAATTTGTAATTGTACTACACACTAACCAATGAATTTGAAATGAAGTTATAATAAATTCGCATTAAATGCATTCAAGTAACATGCATAAGCTGAGAGGTTTTCTACTTTATCTTACAAATTTAGAGACTGTCTAATAAATGTTGTTCTATTTTTGTACAAACAGTATTTCACTAGTGTTTGGATTTTTTTCAAGTATTTATTTTAGTGTTGTATAGCATCGACCAGCACAGTATATATACACACATAGAACTAGTGAACTGTTGAAAAGATTACACAAAATATCTATACAGAAAGTCGAAAAACAAGTCGAAGAATAATTTTATTTGGAAGTTAAATATTTTTTTTAAAAAATATTCGCCAACTTACCATATTACTGTGTAAATAACTTAAAGTATTTGCAATCACATAAGTGATATTACTAGCTTCACGTTCAGAAAGAAATTTTTCTCGGAAAATTTTATCCAATAATTCACCACCTTTTAAATACTCCATAACAAGATAAACTAAATTCTCATTTTCATAAACCTAATTGAAAGAAAAACAAATAAAAGAAAAACAATAAACATATGGTTCTAATGTTTTTGAAGGCTAGTGATACAATTAGATTGTTGGAACAAGCAATACAAAAAACGAAATAGAGTATGAACTCAAGTGATTTAAAATAATACTGTTTAATTAATATAACAACGCTTTACTATAAATAAAACTTGAAAATATCAATATTAAGATATATTTCAACTAGCGGAGTTTTCTAAGTAGATATGAATTACCCTTATCCCTTTTTGATGCTAACGTTACTCATTTACTAAGGATAAATTCAACTTTCAGCCACAATTTAAGTGTAAGAGCTAGTGATACTACCAATTTGTTCAAAGTTAAGGAGGCCTAGCAGAACGAGAACGTGCGATCTAATTGTTGAAAGTTAAACTGTTTGTTTCCTAAGCCAGCATATCAAATGATCCTTGATTCCAAATGGATATCATCTTTACTTTCTAATTATTTGGTGTGTGGATAGTGAAAATAAATGTGATTGGCCATTGAGTGTGAAATAACAAATACAAATTACTGATCATTTATTTTCCATGATTTTCTTTCCTATTTATTGAATTCTACACTGAACTCACTGAATGTTGACTGTTATAGTTTTTATAGTTATAGCATTGTCTGGTCTATATCCTAGACCTCTATACTTGGTTGTGAATATTGCATCTATCTGACCTATCGTGCAGTCTATGAACAGAGGATCAATCTATCCTAATTAGTAAAAAATTTGGTGGTAGTATCATCTCGATCGCCCGTTGTATTACCGTATTATAGAAGCATTACAGGAAAAAACAGAAAATTTTTTATTCCCCCATTGTATCAGTTTTGCTGTACTAGGAAAAGAGAAAACAACTTACAAAAAAGCGTGATTCATAAATCTAGAGGTATTTGTACAGTTTATATAAATTTAGGAAGTTTAAAAGAGGTAAACATGGTTGATTTGAATAAGTGGAAAGTTACAAGTTAAGAATGAAAGGTAGGCAGTAATGGTATTAAGAAAAAAATACCACTATCGAAATCGAAGAATGAATTAAGAATTAATTGGCTAGGTTTAGACTGTAAACAAATTGTTTTTGTGTACACAAATGAAGCTTAATATTCTTTAGCGAAAACGGTTGTAAACATAAATTCTAAAAACTATGAAGTGATAAAAGAGTGAGATAATGAGAATGATTTGTTGCTCATGAGAAAAAGCTTTGAAAATAAACAAGTTAGCCTGAAGCTGTCAAATCTGGATAGCTACTAACACACTAACCAAGTATCACATACATCATTCCTAAACGATTATGTGTTGTATTGTTGATATCCAAAGATGAATTTTAAAGCGTTAGCTATCAGATTCTAGTCTCAGTAAGTATACTAACGTTAGAAGTCTGAAAATGCAACTGATGAGTTTTAAATAAAGTGAAAAATTGGTCCAGGATATCACTCTTAATCATGATATAAAATTGTAAATCGAAAATACTTGTTAATGCTGAGGATATCGAGGGTTTTGTTCAAAGTGTACATACATTAACATATTTAAAATTTCAATCTGAGATATCAATAATGACCAAATATAAACCGTTATGAATAATAAATTACTGTTTATGTTTAAAATGGTACTTTTATTCATCTTTAAATAAATTTGTATATAACAAAGAAGGTCAACTGTAAAATGTCTAATGATGGCTGTCAAACGAAAGAATTTTTTCTGAACAAGTTATAAGTGAGATTTAATTCATAACTATTAATCTTTAATACTGTTATACTTCAATATACAATTTCATAACAATAATTATTCTTAAAACTATTATTTATCATTAATTTTTTTATGAATATATAGTAAATATTTATTACCACATTTCTTGTAGACAATAATACTGTTAATATAATTTTCAAAATAAGATTTGCATAGAATGTAAAGGTGTTGATCTAAACAAACTAAGGTCATTTGCATACATTAGCTAGTTCTATTTACATTAATGAATTATCATTTGAATATAGATTTATAGTTCATTTCAAATCAATTAAAGAGTGAAAGAGTTGTTCAAATTTGCCCAATTAACCTTACTTATCGTCTACTAATAGTAAATATAAAGTATGATTTAAAGTGTTTAAATACACAAATTACCAAAACACTCCATATCAAATTGAAACTTAAGAGGTTAAAATCTTGTTTCCTACACAAAATTACATCATTGATTGATTTACCAGTTGATTTGTATTAATTATACATAGTGAATCTATCATTGGTAGGCAATTCAACGTGTAAATTTGTAGACAGCATACGAGATGGATTTATTTGCACTTATTTATAATTATTAAAAATGACTGATGATATTGTAGTGTATGCTACTTATGCTGTCAGATGTAAGTAGTATGTAGCCACGATCGGAAGTTGTCATGCCTGGGAGTAGAAGATTGAATTAAAGAGAACACAAAGCAAATCGGAGAGCAATTAAAATAAAAACGGAATTAGAGGAATAGTTTGGTAGTAGATAAAGGACAACACAAAGATGTGCAAATGATGTATTTAATGTATGATTTTCATATTTTACTGAAGCACTCTGTAATTTTGTATTGAATAATAAATCGGTTTTCCCCACTTGTGTTCTCGTTCACCACATTATTACTATGAATATGTCTTACATATGTTTATAATGATAATTTTAATATAAATTCTGTAATCATTGTTACTTGTTTAGATATCTAACGAGAAACGTTGTATAAAGAGGTTACTTCTTTTTCAAGGAAATTATAATTGGAAGCCTATTTCTAAATCTGCTGATAGTTGTGTAACAAACAATTTATTAAAACAATAATAAAGTGTCATATACAAATGTTCCTTCTAAGTCGGCTTCTATATATTTCACTACTAAAACAGGATGTCAAATATTCTGTAATACGCACTAGTCGGTATGTAAGAGACTTGAATCAAGAAACCTTTTGTTCGTGAATTTAATGAGAACATTAAGATTAAAATTAAACATTTCCACACACTACCACATATACTGAACTGATCGCGTTTAGATTTTATGTTTCTGCGTTCTCAGCGCTGTTACCAACTTCAAAGAATAAACATTTATGTCCTACATTAAACAATTACGATGAGTAGTCTATAGTTAAATATTTCTTAAATTTATTTTTTACTGTTATATGTGTGTATTGGATTGCGGAAGTAAAGGTTTGTTGAAAAATTGACTGCACAATTACTGATTATTTTTGCCTTGATCAAGCAAGATGTTTTAGAAAAGATATTTCATTACGTAAAACATATATATCCCTGTGGATCAAAGTAATGAGAAAACAATTTCTTCTTCATAATCAATAGAAAGATAAACTTGATCTGTTTCACGTAAATTATCACTTAATTCGCCTATTATATTATCATTTTTTAAAAATAAAAGCAGTATATCAACACAGTGGGTGGAGTTTGTAGAAATCGTTATATTTCATCCTTTACACAACGAAATAACTTTAGACAATTATAGGAAACAAGGAAGCATTGGTCATGGGTTCGATCTCTGCCTAAATCGTGGATATCCAAGTATGGAAAGTACTATGCTAGAAGGAGAAAGCTATTTTACGCTTTCTGGTTTCTAATGGTTGTTTAAATGAGGTCAATTCGTGATATAAACTATTAAACATTATATATATATATATATATATATATATATATATATATATATATATATATATATATATATATATAGTTAATTTATGCTTAGAATTTTCTGAAATACTTTTTAGTTATTCAAGCAAATCCCGATTGGTTGATATTTTATGTTAGGAAAATCAATTAACCAGCCATTATTAGAATACTTTATATCAATTATAATTGAACTTTCTAAACGTTATCGAAAGTAATCAAGTATACTTTATATTTAATTAATTTTTTGTGAAAAAAATCTTTAATAGAACGATAATACAATGAAATATGTTTTAACTGGTTTTTTTTGGCCTAGTGTGTTCTTACATTAAAACTTAATAAATATTTCTTTGTATAATAGTAAAAGAGACAAATCATACCAATAAGGTGTTTATCATTAGATTCAAAAAATACTTTTTAACGATCAGCTGAAAGTGAAATAACCCTGTTTTTTTAAAATTAATCTGTCAGAATGTGTTGAAAACACTCACAAGGTGAATATTCTCGTATACTTTTATTAACTTATTTATTTATCAAATTAAATGGAAAAAATTCCATGTTCACAGCCACTTTTTTGGCTTTATTGTTTACAAATGTTATTTCCTATTTTATGGTGCGTTGAGGTCTGTTTGGTATGTCTGAAATAAATGATTCGATTCGCATATTGGAAGCTGGTGTTTGGTGTACTGGACTCAAGTGGACGGGCTAGGCGGACATAGGACCAATAAGGACGCTAGGCTGCCCATACCGGTCGAACGTCATTGATTTGGCACAGTGCTAAGATTGTATAAGTCGTATTTTGATTGGTGGATAAATCACGTGATAAAAAGCCGGACATAAAGTCACAACATTGATTTTGTAGCATTATTACCCTTGCTGTTGAACAATGTTTTGGAGATTTTTACGGAGATTAATGTTGATTTGTGAGTGATTATAAACCGAGGTGCACTGAACATCTGTGTTATCGAAGTATGGAATTCTTTAACGATGAGGAACCACGACTAGCACAGGAAGAGAATTCAGACATTTCAAGTCTAGTAGAAAATATTTAGCTTTCAGACAACTAATTCGCCATACAATGGTTCAAATTTTTAATATATGTTTAATTAATTTTTTACTAAAATAATATGCAACTTGTCATATGTAGAATTCCTTATAACATTGTCTAATTTTAACTTTTACGCAGAACAATTAAAGACTACTTTTCTTTTTCTAGTCATGTGAGTAAAGATACAAATTAAACTAAATCCTATAAGGAATGATTAGATCTAATTAAGACTGAAATATATTTTATTTCTCAAGAAGAAATATCAGTAACACATTTATTTAATATGCGAACTCATCAATAATCGGACTTACTACTTTAGTTAAAAATAAAACTGAGCATAAATTATCAAGTGTGGAAAAAATGGGTCGTCAACAATTACAGTGAAACATGTTATTAAAAGGAACTACAATTTGTAAAGATAGTGTATTTGTTCACTTACTGATCATTGAGTAGTGACCAATCATAAGTTTGTCCAAAGTTTCGACATAATGTTATCGATCATGGTTCAATGCAGCTACTAGTCTATAGCAGCTGACACTAAAAGTACTATTTTTAAAGTAAGTTGATTGGAACTAATCGACATGAAGCACTGTAAATTGGTCTTGCATTTCTCTTGAGACCTATCAGCATAGTGTATCTGGACTCTAAGACGGAACTGTTATTTATTATGATATCATAGTTTACGTCACCCAGCGTCACTGTCAGAGGCGTTGACATTAAGCCATTTAGACTGAAGTGAACACGTTTTTAAATCCTAATGTTGGACGACCTAACTTCTAGTACGAAAGTAAAAATCATTAACTTCAAAAATCCTAATATTCCACACTGACAAGTGTCAACAAACGTAAAACTCAGGTCTCGCGCTTCATATTAGTTACATCAAAATAACTTACACTAATTCACACTTATTAACCACTCTATAGAAAAAATAGAATGTGATTTGGAATAGCTTACATTTTAGACAACACCAGCGATGCGATAACAGCTAGTTGTAAAATGAATAAACGTATACTAAATTAACAGTTAAATTAACTGATAATCATAATAGTATTATGGAAAATGATGAATAAATATAACGAACTTACATCTCGAACAGAAACAATATTTGGATGATTATGGTGTCTAAGCAATATTTCAACTTCTTCACGGGCATCCCGTTTTGATTTATCAATAATCTGAATGTTTAAACAAAGTAACAGTGTGAGAATTACTAAATGGAATTTGAACAATAAGGAGAATATTTTTAACACTGACATATCTATATAAACACAATACTCACTTTCAGAGGAATACCTTGTAATACTAAATATATATGGAATAAAATAGGACGTTTCTCAAGCAACGGGAGTACGCGTAACTACGATAAAACGGATCTTCAAAATCTCCTGGTTTTTTTATCGAACTTCTAGTTCAAGTCAGTTTGCGATATAAACTATTCTCAAATAGAACATTATTCACAAACCCTTTATGTTATCAATACATAAGATTTTACTTTTGAAAAGGACATCAACTTAGTAATTTAAAACGTATAATCCACCGAGTCAGTTTCCTTATTCATAATCGATTTATTTGTTAATGTTGTATTCTCATAGATAAATTATTTACATGTGAAAAACTTACACAATGTAAACTATAGTTTATTCTAGGAATACATCGTCAATGTTTAGTCCTGATCGTTACAAATTACAAAACATTACTTTTATTTTGGTGGAGTTTTTTTCTCTGAGCTGGATGGTTTGGTCGTGGAGCTTTCATCGTTCTTCCGAACGACATCATCAGCACAAACTTCAGATAGAAGTGAAGTGTTTGAATTTCTCCATATGTGTCTCAAAGCTTGTTCTGTGCACCTCGACGTTGATTGGTTCTTATTGACCTTAAATTTGTCGTTGTTTACTTCTTTGTGCTGATGATGTCGTTCAGAAGAACGATGAAAGCTCCACGACCAAACCATCCAGCTCAGAGAACAAAACTCCACCAAAATCATCCACCTGAGCTACAAATCTTCTCCACATTACTTTTATTTTTGTACTATTCATCTTTTAACTTATATAATGTATTACGGTAAATTTGGACAATGCATATGTGTATCAGGCAGAATGTTGATCTGTTCTAAAGTTAAAGTGGAACTTTTAAAAAAACCAACATTCTAAATCATTGATAACATTCATAAGCTACAAAATATGCCATTTTCACAACTTTACACTATCTATTTGACCTTATGCCTAATAAACCAGCACATATTTTTTGAGCACCAAATTGACAAAATTACAACAACTATAAAAAGATAACAACTGGAACACTCGCTGTTCCTATCATCATCATTATTCACTTCCTTTTTAATCATTTCCGATATATATAAGTACAAAACAGCATGATAACGTATTTCGCATATTTATACCCAAACAAAAGTACACATAAAGTATATACTTCTAAATTAATAATTCTAGAAGAATATGATGCATGATATTTTTTGTATATAAATACATTTTTTAAGAATACCATTTACAATATAAAATTAATGAAAAGTTAATTCAACAAAGTGAACTGTTGAAATGGAATGAAGAATAAGTTGGAGAAAAAATTAATATATAGAAAGCGTAAAATTCCTAGGAAACATTTTAACGCTAAAATAAAAATATCATATTTACATAATTAAACCTGAAATCTAAAGTTCATCTATTATTTTAAAAATATATCAATAATTTTACTTACAATCTATTGATGAAACAAACGATACTTGATCTAAATAAAATTTTAATAGTTCAAGTTATGAGTCGATCTAAGCTAGACCACCATTGAAAACCTGGAAGCACTAGACGGCTGTTTCATTCTAGTATGGGATTCCTCAGTAGTGCGCATCAACCATTCTGATTGAAGTTAGACATTAACACCGTTGGATGCCGGCTCAGTGGTCTAGAGGTTAAGCGTTCGCAAGAAAGACCGAAGATTCTTGGTTTGAGTACTGCCTGCCGGATTGTGGATGCTTATTGCTGAGGAGTCCCATACTAGAAAGAAACATCCGTTCAGTATTTCCAGGTTTTCAATAGTGGTCTAGCTTAGATGGACTCACGAATTCAACTATTAAAATTACTATAACCTTCACAAATCCCCATTCTTATACTAAAATTGTACAGCCAAAAAATTGGTTAGTCACTTTTTTTACAGCTGAGTAAAAAAAATCAGAAAAGTGGTGGAGGGAATACAATCAACGTTTCTAAATGAAATACATACAAAGTAAAACTGACTTTTGTTGAAATTAGGAAAATTGAAAACACAAGGCAAGATAATGCGTAAACTGGTTGCGGAAAAACAAGTTAATTTCAAATATACCGAATCAATAAGTAACAATCTGAGAACATATGTATGAATCGTTAACATAGAATATAAGAAACAAACAAAGATCTTTGACAGACGGACACATAATTTAAACGACTTGTTACAAAGCTGTAACAACTAAAGGAATTATATGAAAAATTGTCAGTTTGCTCCAACGAACGTTATTCACATGTTGTAGGGTTTAATGTGAAAAATACTAATATAAAGTTATAAACGTTTTGGCCACACGTTTGATACTGACATTGATTGTTGCAGGCGTATGTAGTGACAGGCCTTTTGACAAAATTAATGTGATATATTGCTTGACTTATTTTCAAGCTTTACACAATTGTAATTAAGTATTTTAGATAACTTTCGCTTAGTTTTCAACCTTAAAAGTCATTACGTCACTAAAAAAAATTACTTCTTCGATGAGTAGAGTTATGTAACCTTTCCACTGTTATTACTGACTCACAAACTTCTTTGGCTGAATAATTTCTCCTATGCATATAAATACTATTGTATAATTAAAGACTCGAGTATCTAACTGAAAACAATATTGTTCGAATTTACGATATGCAAGTTTTTAAAATTGTTTAATTTGTTTGGTATTTACACCATTAAATAATAGTAAACAATGTGAAAGAAATGTAATTATACCTAATATCGTATAAATAATCCAACGAAACGATACTTTTAGAAAAGATACTGATAAAATTCATACAAAGAAAAATCTGTCAGCAGAAATTGTTCAAAAGGTCATAGTTATTAATATATTTGTATTACACACACAACATATCTATTTATATTAAATACACATTTGATTTGTGTCATGCTTACATTGTCCCTACTAACATACATTGAGTAGTTGAATCAGACTGATTTTTTGACAATCAGTTAATCTCTTTCAATGCCTCCTTATTTTAATAGTATATAAATAAAAATCTGACAGATAGACAACTATTGTAAACCTAAAAGCATTGAGAGGTCGCTTCCACTTAACATGAGGCTTCTCATCAGTATTATATAACACTGGATTACATTATAAGGTTAGCATAAATAAATATTTTTGTTATCAATTTGAAGCAGTGGATTTCATGTCAATCGAAGAACAAATACTGACAAAATTGAGAATTGGTGAAGTTAAAGTCACTAAATCTAAACTTCTGTATGTTATTGACAATGGACACAATAATGAAGACAATTTCTCAGTTAGATATCAAGTGCATATCACTTTGGTAAAGTAGTCCTATATTACATCATCTCGGTTTAGCAGAAGCGATCAGCATCATCTTAATGTAATCTAGCCTAATTATATAAAAATGATAGATATAACTATTTCATTTACCTTCAACGTCATTAAAAGTCAAATTTTATCAGTGCAATCTAATAGGATTAACCTCTCTTCTTATATTGAATGATATTAATGATTATTGTTATTTATATCATTATGATTATTATCATGATAACCGCGATAAAATTCTTATTTTCTGATGAACATTTTACATATGAATTCTGTCTATCTATCGGTTCAAGGTATAGTATTATTTTTCACTTTTTATTACGTGACCCTTTTATCTTTAGCAAATACGCATGTTATGAGTATTTAAGATAGTGCCACCATCAATATATATATATATATATATATATATATATATATATATATATATATATATATATATATATATATATATATATATACCTACGTACATAAATATTCTTTTCATTTTGAATTATAGTACATAAACTAGCAAACAATAATAGCAAACATGCAATTTCGATTTTGATATTTATATCTGGCATTCATCAAAATGTACATCTGATAAAAAAAAATAGTAATCATAAAATAGTAAAAAAATAGAAAGAAGATACAAGCAAATTCATGACAGTCATGTTTTGATTTTAGTGATGTTGATCATGATGAACTGTGTGAATTGAGAAATTAAAAACATACATATAAGAAAGACAAGATGTTAAATACACAAGCAATAAAAACATGAAACTATTGAAATGAAAAAAAAACTATTATATGATTTAGGAATTATGCAATCGATTGCACTGAACTCATATGATCAAAACATTCTGACTTGTCGACAACTTCTCGAAATGACCGAGTTATTGCTACAAAACCTATGAATAACCAGATGTCAAATGAATAGAGTTCAGCGATGAAAATGTTTCCTCAATGATGCCATTTACTGAAACTGTACGATCGTATTCAGAATGAATACACATGAAGTAGTGTATAAGAAAATATGAAATTATTCAATCAATAACAAAGATACCATAAACTAAATAAAGGTACCGATTGTCAAAAAAGTTATGCAACAGTCAAAAATTAATACGAATGGAAGTACAAATGACATGACAGAACAAATGGAAAGTATATGTCATACATAAAAATAAACATAATTAAAATGCATTGAAAGATTTAATGACTGTAGGTTATTCACTAGCATATAAATGAATGTAAGACCTGAATCTCATGGAGTTTGTCCGTCATATCAAACTTAGAAACGACTCATAAAAATGAAAGTGAAAATTTTCATCGAAATACATGCATTATTTGTTTTATTATGATAAGAGAAAGTAATCCAGAATTCGATAAGCTTAAGCAAATAGTTTCGGAAAAAAACAACAACAAGTAAATAACGATTGAAAGTAATATACAGAAGTTTGCAAAGGTGGTAGAGTTTTCATAGTTTCGAATGCGAATGGACGACAGTGGATTAATATCGTGGAATGACTGAAGTTAGATATGGACATAATTCGATGCCAACTCAGTGGTCTAAAGGTTAAGGGTGCGCATATGAGACCCAAGGTCTCGGGTTTGATTCCCAGATAGAGGGTCGTAAATGCT